CGATTCCCAAAGACCAAGAACGTAGTCTGTCGCGACTCCCCATTCCAGTCGCGACTCCCAATTTCAATCTCTCGACTTCCAAGTTTGAAGCTGACTTCCAGGTTTGAATAGCCCCATGTTTCACAACTTCGATTTTGTCGCTTTTGAATTGGAAAAGCCCAAGTTTTCAAGACTTCAATTTTTTAGCTTTTGAAAAGCCCAAGCCCAACTTCAAGTTGTGTTATGTAACTTATGTTTTATTAAAGTTATATATATATATATATATATATATATATATATATCTATGTATGTATATATATATATATATCTATGTATGTATGTATGTATGTATACATATATATATCTACACATATATACATATAGATAATATATATATATATATATATATATATATATATATATATATATATATATTATATGTATGTATGTATGTGTGTGTATGTGTGTGTGTGTGTGTGTATATGTATGTATGTATGTATGTATGTATGTATGTATGTATGTATGTATGTATGTATGTATGTATGTATGATCTTCATTAGGCCTATCGATCTTACGTAGAATCTAGAGTTTGACTACCATGTCGACATGGCAATCAAACTTGAGATTCTACGTACTTAATAAAGATCGTAGCTCAGATCGTAAGATCCTACATACACACACTGACTATCAAGCCAAATGTTGGACAAAAATAATACCAGTACATAGTATGGTATATAAAATTCACTGCCCACTAGACTAGGATAGACTTGAGCATAAAAAGAAAAGAAAAACATATGTAGTGATATAGAATTGAAAAGCTTAAAATAATACCCGGCCAAAAGTGACAAATTGACACCCTTAATTTTGTGAGGAGAGCGCAGAGTCTGCCGTGATAACAGGGAACAATCCTTGGGAAAGGTCACGACGTAAAAAACCGAAGGGACGAAACCAAGTGTTCAAATTTCTGCATGTCCGTCCCTCTTTGTTTTCGATTGGCAATCTCACACAATTCAGCATTCTTACGATCCAAATCGTCGATCCGTATGATTCTCAGAGGGATTGCAATTTTAGCCGTGATTCAGATCGAAAAAAGCCCAACGATCTGCGGAATTGTACAATTCAGATCGCGAGTTTGACTACAATGTTTTTACTTCTGAACTTTACTTCTAGGAACTGAATATATGGGTCTTGTAATTTTTCTTTTATAAATAAAATTCAACCACACACCTTTCACTTTGCAACACTTTTCTTAAACTTAGAGAAGTCAAAGTGTAAACTTTATTTTGGAACTGGGAGTATTTCTTAGTCTAGCTTGATAACCATTGGTTTGTGGGTACTACAATGATATGTGTCTGAGAGTCTGACTGTATTATTACTTTTTAAATAATACTTGTGTCGTGGAAAATAAGCTCATTGTGACTTCGGACGTGGTTAATGCTTTCATCTATTGGTTCTATGTGTCAGCCTGGTTTTGGGTATCAGCAGCAGCTTGTCCCCGGCATGAGGCCTGGTGGGGGGCCTATGCCAAATTTCTTTGTGCCACTTGTTCAACAAGGTCAGCAAGGTCAGCGTCCTGGCAGACGTGGAGGTTCTGGTCCAATGCAGCAGGGGCAGCAATCAGTTCCACTGATGCAGCAGCAGGTTTCCACTTTGCATCTTCATATTATTCAGTGGTTATTGTCTAAATTATCTGTCATATTTACTTCCCATTTTCCCTGCATGGCAGATGATTCATAGGGGACGTGGGTATCGTTACCCTGCAGGGCGTCCTACTGATGTTTCTATCCCGGGAGTAGCTGGGGGCATGTACTCTGTCCCTTATGATATGGGGGTCATGCCTATGCGTGATTCAGGGATGGCTCAACCAATGCCCATTGGTGCTTTAGCGACTGCACTTGCTAATGCTTCTCTTGCCGATCAAAGAACGGTATGCCTTTGCTATTTTCCTCAGCGCTGCCTGTATATAACATTGCTAGGGTACATTATAAATTATGTCAATTGCTAAAAGATGATGATGTCATTCTTTGTGACGAAACCCTATATGCTCTTAAGCGATCAATTGAGATCAAAATAGCACATATTTCCAATAATTTTGTCCTCCTTGGCCATTGTCATAAATCCCAACTTATTTTGGCTGCCGTTTCCTGCTATTAATAGTCGTTCATTGTCATTTAATGTTCATGCAAAAAATTTAATTGCAAGGCTTATGCCAGATAACCTGTTTACAAAGTAATAGTGAGCATTTCAAAACCAGTGTGATCTTATTGTCCACTTGCAACAACAACAACAACAACAACAACCCAGTTAAATCCCACAAGAGTAGGGTCTGGGGAGGGTGTGTACGCAGACCTTGCCCCTACTCGAAAGTAGAGAGGCTGTTTCCAAAGAGACCCCCGGCTCAACGTCGAAAGTTGCATTGTTTGACTAACTGCTACTTCATTAATTAAAGAAGCGCAGATAGTTTAGAGATCCATTTTGATTTATTCCATCACACCCCAAAGCCAAAAATGGTGAAATTTTGATTTATTGTCCACTTGCATGGATAGAATATCATTAGATGATTGGCAGTTTTTGTTGAATGCTATGGCCGGTCAATTGCAACATTTATATTGTAAAGATATCATGCAAATCATGAAACATGACATTTACCAGCACTCTTTGTTACCCGTTCTGGTTTGAAAGATTTGAGGTCAATTCACAGATGGAAATCTAATATTATTACGGAGTAGGGCTCCATGTAATTACGGTTAGTAAATAAGTCTAATTGTATTTCAAATTTCACAGATGTTGGGGGAAAATTTATACCCACTTGTGGAACAGCTGGAGCCTGTGCAAGCAGCCAAGGTGACTGGCATGCTTCTGGAAATGGATCAGACAGAGGTTCTCCATCTGCTCGAGTCTCCAGGTGCCCTTAAAGCCAAAGTCGCAGAGGCAATGGAAGTGCTCAGGAATGTTTCTCACCAGCAGGCCAACAACACTGCTGATCAGCTGGCCTCTATGTCGCTCAATGATGGTCTCGTTTCTTGAGTTAAGTTTTTTTTATGGACCTTTGGAACATAATTTGGGAAAAACAAAAAAGACTATCTTGTTTTCTGATGATACATTGAATTTGTGTTGCTGCTGGGATGAGTCGGTTTCCTAATCTGCATGAACCCTTTGTTGTGAGCTTATGAAGTCTTGCTATAAATTCTTTGATTTGATGGCATTTGCTATATTTTGTTCTTTCATACCTTTTATTTTATCTCATTCAAATCCTTTTACTAGTGGAAATATGTTAATTGCTCTACCCGAGCCGGCTGTGTTCAAAATCTTCTGAGAAACATAGGAGTTTAAAATAAAGCAATGCCCATTAATTAATGAGCAAGGATCTTTTGACGTGAACCTCGGGTCACATTTTGACCCCCTCGGTTCACATTATGACTCGGGGCACCTGCGATGCTGAATTGATAAAATTTATGGTTCTTACGTCCTAATCCCTTCCAAATTCTCCCCAGGGTGGGGTGTATGGGGTTTGGGGGGTGGAGGTTTGAACTATCAATTTTATTAACGTAGCACCATAGGTTCCATGGATCATAATATGACCCGAGGTTTCAAGGTCAAAAAAATCATTTTGTTAATTAGTTATCATGCTAAATTGAGGTTCCTTAGCGACCTCAATAAGAGCTGATGTCATATATATTTCTAAACATCTCTTGGAGCAAAAGAGAGCCAAAGGAATTATCTATAAATGTCCCCTTTTTTGGGACATCAATGACTTGTGATCTTTCTATTGCTTGTTAGGGTATGTTTGGTATACGGAATTGACGTAATTGGAATTGAAATTCCATGAGATTTAATTCCATAGAATTGAATCCTACCAATTCCAATTCATTTTTTACACTATTAATTCTAAATTCACATAATTTTTGTGCTACCAAACATCAGAATTGAAATTGAAGTCCTCAATTCCAATTCGATAGTTTGAATTCCATGTACCAAACGTGACCTAAAGTATTCCGATTTTTATTTGGACATGATGAGAAATCATCTCTTTCATGCAATGCGACTAATTCTTGCTAGTTTACTAAATTTATAAATATTCAAAAATCACACATTTATATAGGTCTCATCTATTTCATGCAATGAGAAAATTTATATAGGTCTTATCGTATTGCCTTAATTAAACTTTTATGTTCCAAAATTTTTTACAACCACATTCAAACAATTAGATTTTTAGCGGTTCGCTCAAACATTATGGTTTTTTATAATTAAAATATTTAAATTAAATGTCAATAAAATCAATACCGACAGATAAGACGTTGTTTCTAAAACTTTAAACGATAGCAACATATAAATTTTTTGTTGCTAATATTATAAACAATACTGATAGATAAATATTTTGATGCTAATACTATAAACAATATTGACAGATAATATTTTGATGCTAATACTATAAACAATATTTTGATGCTATATATATATATATATATATATATATATATATATATATATATATATATATATATATATATATATATATATATATATATATACTCAATCTCATTAGTATGAGGCCTTTTGGGAGGTGTCTAAAACAAATATGTGAGGGTTTGACTAAGAACGGAGAATATCATACTAATGCGGGGTTGGAGTGAGGGCACGCGCAGTCTGAACATGTGGTATCAGAGCCCAGGTTTGTGCGGGCAAGAGTGACGGATTGCGTTGTGCAAAATTCTCGGTGTGCCCGCTGTGAAAAAATGACAATAGGTATGCAGGCTGTGACTCAGGCATTTTCTATAAATTAACGAGAAGGAAGTTCACGAACTGATGAAAGAGAGTCTAATTAACACGACAAAGTTTCTTAAAAAAAGGCTAGGCGTAATGTAAACATAAGGAGTAGTTTCTAAACTCCTAAATATAGATAGATCGCATCACCTTTGATCCATTTTTTGACAAATCTAATCATAAAACGTTGTCATCTCCCGCTAATACTCTTCCTGCTTAGCTAATAAATGCTGAAATAATAATACTGATAACCACGATTAATTGATTAATTTTGGGAAAGTTTCCATTTCCCCTGCCCCTATTTGGCTATATATAAATAAATTAATGGCCGGAGGCCATTGAAATGCATACCGAATCCGCACACATGGATTCTAAAGAGAGAGACGAGCCGATGACACCTGCCGGCCGGCTGTTTCTCCAGCCGGAGATGAACCAGATTATACACGCGGTCGCCGGCATAAAAAACCCGTGCGACGTCGACGCCGTTAAGTCGGTGTTCAGAGACTCCCTGCTCGTCAAGCACCCCAGATTCTGCAGCCTGATGGTCAAGGATCCGGACGGCCGCGAGCGGTGGCGGAGAACGGAAGTCAACCTCGACGACCACTTTGTTGTCCTCCCCGACCCTCTGACCGTTGACCCGTCCGTGTCGGACGAGGACGCGCTCAACGACTACCTCGCCGACCTCTCCGTCTCCTCGCCGCTCCCGGCGGACAAGCCTCTCTGGGAATTTCACCTCCTCCTGGCCCACAGATGCGGCGTTCTCCGGATTCACCACGCCCTCGGCGACGGGATCTCGATCATGTCAATGTTCCTCTCTTGTTGCCGGAAAACGAGCGATCCCAGCCAGACGCCGACGGTCGGCGGGGGCGGACCGGGCCGTCGGGAGAGGTTGGGGATTATAAGGGTGGCGATGGTGGTGTGGTACACGGTGGCGTATGTGGTGGAATTCATACTGAGGAGTCTGTGGCTGAAGGATAGGACCACCGCCGTTAGCGGCGGCGCTGGGGTGGAGCTCTGGCCGCGGAAATTGGCTACGGCCAAGTTCACCATTGAGGACATGAAAGCGGTTAAGAAGGCCGTCGCTGATGCGGTAAGCAAGTCTATTCCGGGCATGTCAGCTTTCCATTTGTTAAGTTTTTTTAATGTTAGATTTAATTAATAATTAATTAAAACTCCATATTTCTTTCCTAAAATATACTTATGCACCACTAATTACAGGGTATAATACTTCCAAAAAAAATTGCGGATCATATGTTTCACTTTTTTAGTCAATCATTTATGCACTTTGATTATTAATGAGTTGAGAATATAATTTTAAATCAATAAATGATTAAAATATTTAATCTACAAAAAGTATATTTAAAAATAATTTAATAATATCGTATTATATTAGAATTAGTATTATTGAATATATTTGAAGTATTTTACTCCCTCATCCCAAAATTAATGTCTCATTTAGGGACAAGAGAAGTCCTTGGATAAAACTAAAAATTACGAGGATACTAAAATAAGAGTCATTAGTTTTTTAAAAGATCAAAATAAGAGTTCACCGATGTCATTGTTACAGCCAAACTCAGCACATTATCACATTCTAACTGACAAACTATCGCTGTCACACTGTCACCCGTTGACGCCGACCCCCATATATCCATCGCGGATCGCTGGCGGTTGACTGATCACATTGAAGACATATTACACTGTTATTATTTTTGTATCACACTGCCAACGCGTACGCTTACAACCCACTTTTATTATACTTCTATTTTGGTCTTAAATGCCTTAAGACTCCTATTTTTGTATTTTTATTTTTTTATACTCCTATCTAGAAAGATTTCTTCAGTATTTTAGACTCTCAATAGATTTAGTTTGTTCAAATGTTTTTATTGTCTATTTTCTGAAATAAAATATTCTTGTCACGTTTATTTGAACTTTTTGTGGAGTTTTAAACGGTGTAATTTTTTTAATAAAAATTTATAAATAAAATCATTCTAAAAACGATGGATTTCGCACGTTGTTTGAAGTGAGACATGATTTTTGGGACGGATGAAGTATCAAAAGTTTCTAGTCCCATAATTATATTTGTTCTTTACTATTTGAATTATCCCAACAAAATTAGCAAATTATTTTGTGAACCTTGAAACACTAGAAATGGTCACGAAGTCCCAAGATTTCAAACCAGGGCTTATTCTTATTTAAACTCATTATGTGGTTTCTTAAAAAACAAGAATTTCAGTTTAGGAAAAGTAGAGGAAAAAAACCGAAATTTCCAATTAAAAAAGAAAGCGACCGACCATTGCGGATTTTGTGGCCCGTCTTTGTTTTCCCGTGGTTGAGAATTGAGATTGAGACGGTTCAAAATAAATGTTTGCATAAAACAATGGAGTCTCAAAAAAGAAAGAAAATGTTCCAACTTCCCACTTCTCCATATGGATGAAGATATTATTGTAGCTTATTGTAGATTGGAGTAGCCCAATCACACATGCCCCATTTCCGCGTTCATTGTTTAATTTACTTCTTTAGGACATACTATGACTTAACTCTTTTCATTTGAGCGTGTTGGGGAATCGGCCCAATGCTCTCACGCCCGAAATGGGAGTCCCGGCCCGCCCAATGGGTCAAGGTTCAAACTTCAAAGCATCCAGGAAGAGCACCATTGGCTTGAATTCATTACATAAAATAATATTTTTATTAGATAAAATAATATTTTTAAAATATTTCTTTTAATAAATCTAATAAAATCATTTTGGCATCAATATCTAATACGGAGTATCATTTTTATTTAATTTAAAGTCAAAGTTTAACAATTTTGACCCAAAAAGTCAAAAGTAGACAAATACTTAGGAACGAGAAAAGTATGTTAAATTAGAGGAATAAATTAAAGCATTGAACATATAATGATTCTTATTAGTTTGGTATGATGGGAGAATGGTGCAGACCATCAATGATGTTCTTTTTGGAATCATAGCGTGTGGGCTCTCCAAGTACCTCTCCATTCGTTCATCCAAAGGTAAATGAGAGATCAGCAGACTCTTACACTATGTTTGGTTTAAAGAATTTGAGAGGGAAAGAAAAAGAAAATGAGAAGAGAAATATTTTTCTTGTTTGGTTAGATAAGAAAAGAAAAGAAAAGTGGAAGAAAAAGAAAAAGAGAAGGCAAAATATACTAGGAAGAAAGAAAACCAAATTCCTCCCATTTTAGTAAGAAAATGAGAGAAAACCATTTTCTTTTCTTTTCCTACCAAATTCCTTGAACCAAACATTATGTTAGGGTGTGTTTGTACTGTAAGGGAATAAGAGGAAAGTAGAGCGAGGATTAGATGGGTTTTAAAAACAACTCTAATCCTCACCCTTACTTTAAGATCACTTCCTCCAAGTCTCCAACCAAACACATCCTTAAAGTTTATTAATTTGATTTAGTTGCTACTTCCTCCACACTTGAGTATTGCTCCACTAGTCCACTTTTGATTTTTTCTGATCAAAATTTACAAATTTTACAATAAATTAAATAAAAGTTATATCAGATATTGATACAAAAATAATTTTATTACATTTATTTTATAAAATATTTTTAAAATATTATTATATCTAATTAATATACAATATACTCCGTATATTTGATTATAAATCAAAAGATCAATGGGTTGACTAGAAAAAATTAAAACTGACAAAATACTCAAGAGCGTGACAAAGGTAGTAATTATTGTTAGAGGAATTTACGTAAATAACACTAAAACATAATGACTTTCCCTAAATAGCACTAAATGTGTTTTTTTCTCAATGTAGGACTTTTAGTCATTATCCATTAGTCATTATTCAAGTAAATGTTCGTAATCACTGGTCATTATGGACATTATTAAGTGTTATTGAAGAAATAAAATAATTTAAGTGCTATTTAGAGAAATGACTTAAGTTTTAGTGCTATTTAGTACAAATATTTCTTATTGTTATGATTAAGACAAACCATATATGTATGTGCCTTGTAGATTTGAAGGATGGCCTCCAGATCACTGGTCTTGCCATGGTGAATTTAAGACCACAACATGGACTTCAGGTTTATTTTACCCAAGGCTTAGCTAGGTTTTACTTTTCATCTTTTAAGCTATTCCGTGCAAATTTCACTATATATAATTCACAATGCACAATAATACATGGCTGGTGAAATAATTGAACAGGATATTACCAAGCTGATGAATAGCGGTAAATCGGGCACTGGGTGGGGTAACAAATTTGGGTTCATGCTCTTGCCTCTGCATTACTTTCACAATGCTGGCAATGACGACCCTCTCCAGTTCGTGAAGAGAGCTAAATCCATGATTGACAAGAAAAAGTTGTCCTTGGAAGCCCTCTGCGCCTACAAAATTGGGTATTGTGTCATGTCCTTACTCGGCGTCAAGGTACACTTACCTATCGAGTTTATTTACAAGTAAAAAAAATGTATGGTTGAAATTTGTTTTGATTATGGGGTTTACGCTGAATGTGCGTAGTTTGCAAGCATTTTCAACTATCGGATCTTATGCAACACGACGTTCACGATCTCGAACGTGATTGGCCCTCAAGAAGAGATCTCTATTGCGGGCAATCCCATCACCTACATTAGAACAAGCATATCAAGTTTGCCTCATGTAAGTATATATATTTGTCTTGTTCTATTTTTTTTAATAGTCCTTCCTAAAACTTGCTTAGCTTCCCACTTCGATTTTATTTGCTTGTAAATAATTATATCTAAATGACAATTAACACAATAGTATTATAAGAAAATGAATAAATCACAAATTTTAAATATCATAGCAATCCATTCAATCCATTCATATCAATTTGTCCAAACAAACGGCTTCTACAATCTTCAATCTCTTTCGATTACTAAAATTTTCAATCTCTTTCGGAGACTATTCTCACACCTACCCGGCCACCACGCCCACACCTGATAAATATTAATACCCCCACCCCAATAATGCAATAGATTATACCATATACTTCCTCCGTTCCATAAAGAATTTCGCATTTTGAATTTAAAAAAAATTAAGGTTGTGATATTTTTGTGTTGACTTTTCAAAAATATCCATAATATGATGGGTAAAAATATAATGTGATTCTAGATTTTTAGTAAAAAAGTATGATGTTATAAGTATGTTAAAAATTAATAGGGGCAAACATAGTTTCTAATAAAAAGGAAAAAATTTTGTGGGGCAAGAAAAAAGAGAAAGGGGAAGGAGTTATTGAGACAGAAGAAGTATATGAAAAAGAAAGAAGTGAAAGTACATACTCCCTCCGTCTCCCAGTTTTTGTCCACTTTTGACTTTTGGAACTGTTCATCTAAGCACTTTGACTCATCAAATTATCTCAATGTGTAAGTCTAAATATAGTCATGTGTGATCTTGTTTGATTTGTCTTAACATATAGATTATTAATATATAATTTCTATAATTTTTTAATATACAAATTACAAGATAAAATGGATTAAAGAAGTGTGTTGGATGGTGTGTAAAAATGAAAGTGAACAAATACTCTGGGACGGAGGGAGTATAAAACTCCAGAGCCAACAACATAAAATATACGGAGTAGCGGGGAGATAGAAAATAATGGTACCTACACAGTCCTCCTAAATAAGACTAAAACATAGAGAAAAGTACCAAAATAGGACTTTCATGTTTTTTTTCCCGGAATAGGAATTTGCACTGTGGTAATGTGACTTTGCATTGTGGTAATGTGACAGTGTACATATGCAAATTACTATACTTTTTTGGTCATGTATATGACCATGTTTGGTAATGTAAGTCCTATTTCGGAAATAAAAACATGGAAGTCCTATTTTGGTATATTTTCAATGTTTTAGTCCTAATTTGGTCTTTCTCCCCAGAAAGACCAAACTAAGACTAAAACATTGAAAATATACCAAAATAGGACTTCCATGTTTTTATTCCCGAAATAGAACTTAAATTACCAAACATGGTCACATACATTACCAAAAAAATATAGTAATTTGCACATGTACACTGCCACATGACCACAATGCAAAGTCACATTACCACAGTGCAAAGTCCTATTCCGGGAAAAAAATATGAAAGTCCTATTGTAGTACTTTTCTCCATGTTTTAGTCCTATTTAGGATGATTTTTAAAGGGAATATGGAGGGGGAGTCTCATGCTAGGATTCCAAACATAACGTTTACTAAATTATTCATCAATAATGAAGAGTTTGTAGATTCGGTTTTCTCTTATTTCAATCCATTCATATCAATTCATTCATATAAAAAAACATATGAAACCATAAATTCATTCATGTTTCATAGCAATTAGCGAACATTTCAGATTATTAATTAATAATTAACCCAAGATTTTAAACCTAGATTTTAAAGCCAAAGAATGAAACTATAAAAGATTGAAAGAAATCATGAAATTGGCGAGAGTAAGTGAATAACTGGTGGGCTGCCGGCAGCGTTTGGCGTGAAAAGAACCGGCAACTGGCCGACTAGCCGCATCTCTGTCGTCTCTTTGATTTCCGAAATTCTCCAAGGCCGAACAATACATTTCTTTAATTCATTTTATCTTGTAATTTGTATATTAAAAAATTATAGAAATTATATATTAATAATCTATATGTTAAGACAAATCAAACAAGATCACACATGACTATATTTAGGCTTACACATTGAGAGAATTTGATGAGTCAAAGTGCTTAGATGAACAGTTCCAAAAGTCAAAAGTGGACGAATATAGCGGGACGGAGGGAGTATTTTATTTGGTATTATGGGCTATTGGGCTTGATTTATACGGAGTATATAATATTTTTGAAAATGCACCCCTAAAAATGATGGGCCAGGTCCGGGCAGGCGGGCTGCCTATCCCCCTTATGGGCTGGCCCTGCGGAGCACCGTAGGTGCCTCAGGTCATGATATGACTCAAGGTTTCAAGGTTAAAAGAATCGTTGTATCCGTAATAATAATAATAATATAATGATGGATGAATGCAGGCGATGATATTACATATGGTGAGCTATAATGGGAAGGCAGACCTACAGATCTTAGTTGCCAAAGACATCATCCCTGACCCCAAGGTTCTAGCCAGGTGTTTTGAAGATTCTCTCATGGCCATGAAACAAGCTGCTGCTGCTGCTGCGGTTGAACAATAATAATCCTATATCACATGTTTGCAAGGCATATAAATGCATGCATGCATGGGCACTACTGAAAGACAAGGTCGAAACTCAAACAACTCATCACCTAGCTTAGCTTATGTATAAATACATAAGTTTCTGTAATTAATTCATATGAATAATGTTACTACATAATATTTAACTTTATGAATATTTAGATCGTTTTGCATACTTTGATTATGTAAAAATAAATTCCATTGAAAACATATTTATTGAACAAAGTAATTAACTAAGTTTTTTACAGTCTCATGGTAAAAGTGAGAGGGCGACATGTTTATAAGGTGTGTGTGTCCTTGTAAAGATGCATACGCTCGTATATGAAATCTTGAAGAGGTTATCCGTCACCCAAATAAATCTATAGAATGCACACACAACAGCCACAAGAAAATGCAAGTCGCAGCACAAAACTTGTTATAGCACAAGTTATTGTGATAGATGATGCACACTGCGCTGTAACAACTTCTGTGTCACAAGTAATAACTATAACTAGAAAAATAGTAAACAACACACAAAATGTTTTTTGCAGTTCGGAATAATTTCTCCTGCACCTGTGAAGCCCACATCCGTGTAGCAGACATTCACTAAATCACTATTGAGTTTTACACAATCAACAATAGATTCTATCTATGTATTGAACTAAACCTCTTACACGTGATATGACGAAACTCTATTTGCTTCCAACTCCCTGGCATGTTACACCCTTCTCCAAGATCTTCTTCGAGGACGTGTTGCTGGCCTTTCTCTAGAACATCAAAGATCACCTTCTGGGTATAGCTCAAGAAATTTTGCTGCAAGATCTCATGCTAATAAGAAATATTGATAGCGTGATCTTCGTGAATGCACCTTGGTGAAAGAAATAAGAATAAAATATAGCGTTTGGATATGATGCATCGTGCGGCTCAGATTGCATTATGCGCTCAGATTTTGTAATAGTGCATTTTCAAAGGATTTTGGAATTTGGTGCATTTCGACGTGACGCATTTTCAAACCATTTTGGTGCATCTAATTTTGATGCAATGTTGATCCTTAGATCTCATAATCTAAAGCACCAAATTCATTCTTATTTCTTTTATAAGATAGAATTCTCACTAGAACAAAGTCTAATATTCTCATGTTTTATAAAGTTTTATTGTAGTTTTTAAAATATTTTTTTGTTTATTAACTTACATCAAAATTTTAACAAATATAATCAAAACTGACTGCTTCGATTTAAATATATTATAAAAAATATGAAATTTATTTAGAAGTGAAGAAATATCTTATTAGTTACTTAAGGCCAATTTGGTGAATTTTAGAGATATGATAAGATGTGGGCTATAAAATCTCAGAGAAATGATATAGATTTTGTAATCTGAAATGATCTTATTTGGAGAGATTTAAATTTAAGATTTAATTAGTAATAAGAAAAGGTGACTGACAACGTACGGGAGTGGTTGGCGGTGAAAATGGTAGCCAGTGGTGGAGAATGATCAATAGTTGAGAGAGATATCGAACCTCCATATTGATAACTCTCAAATTCGGGAGATATTGAGACAATCCATTTTAAAGATTTATGATATTTTGAGATTTCAAATTCGATAATTCGTTTGGCTTCACCAAACACCAGAAAAGGAGTTAGATATCTAGAGATATCAAAACTCATATTTTATTTGCTCACCAAACACACCTTTAGAAGTTTTGTAATAATTGAATAGAAATATATGTATAATTATGAAATAATTTATTATAAAAACGAATATCTCTAATATCTTCCCTAATTAATTGTAATGAAATACTTCATTCCATAATATTAATTTCTTACTTTCTATAATTTATTTTACGTGTCAGAAATGTCTCGTAAACAACACTACATGTCAGCTTCTTTGAGTTTAAAATAACAATTTTATAAATAAAAGATCAATTATAAACATATTTGATCTTTCGTATAAGAATACTTTTAAATGAAAATAGATCATTATCAAAATTTTGTTTTTTTGTGTATGCACTTAGTTAAAAATTTGATTCATAAAAAAGGTTAGTCTAGAAATGGTTAGTGATAGTACCAATTTTATTTTTTTCACTAATTTTTTGCTACAACATAATAAGTTTTATCATATAATTATATTTTATATAATTGTTTTTCTTTAATAATTTTATTCCGGACAATACAATATTTATCTTTCACAAATTTTTATTTAACAACCGATGCAAAAAGTATCCTGAGTATTTGCATCGCCGGCTTTTGCATCGTTTATAACCGATTTAAAAGGGTCAAAATAACTGATTTAAAAGGGTCAAAATAACCGATTTAAAAGGTCTTTTTTGTAGTAGTGTAACATAATTATTTTTATCACAACATAACAAAAAAATAAATGAATTTCTTTTTAAAAACAAAAAATATAAATAGTCAACTGCGAAGTAATGAATTCTTTATTTGTCCTAAATCTTTTTATGTAAAATTTTGCCAAAATTTGAGACTATTTTGAACAAATTTGAAATTTTTATTTTAAAATAAAAAAGGAAAGTCAATTCATCATTAATACAATTTACCACATAAGCAACCAATAAGGGTTTGCCATCTCACCTTAATATGGCCTACATAGACTTGACACTTGGCGACTTTCTAGCAAACGGAGTCTCAAATATTACTCCATCCGTCACACTGTCTTTGTCCACTTACCTTTTGGCACACCATCCAATGCACTTCTTTAATCCATTTTATCTTGTAATTTGTATATTAAAAAATTATAGAAATTATATATTAATAATATATATGTTAAGACGAATCAAACAATATCACACATGACTATTTTTAGACTTACACATTGAGAGAATTTGATGAGTCAAAGTGCTTAGATGAACAGTTCCAAAAGTCAAAAGTGGACAAAGACAGTGGGACGGAGGTAGTATATTAAAGGACACCGAATATATATACTCTGATAAGCATAATGCATAGCCAAATTCTCGCATCGCGAATCCCCAAACACACACTGGATTTCTTCGTAAGTAATTAATTTAAGAGTAATTTACCTAAATAAGACTAAAACTTAATAACTTTCTCAATATAGGATTATATATTTTTATTTCCCAATGTACGACAATTGGTCATTATCTATTAGTCATTATTCAAGTAAATATCTACCATCACTTAAGATCTTCCCATTACGCGTTACGAGCCTTGACCGAATTTATTTTCAATTCAATTTATTTGAATATAGGGGTAAATTTTAATAAAAAATCTATATAGTACTCCCTGCGTCCGGAAATAAAGTTTACGTTTCTAATTTTTCTCCGTCCGGAAATAAAGTTTACATTTATAATTTTAATCCACACTCTTTCAAAAATACCCTTCTCTACCTTTTCTTTCTCTCTTCTTTTTTTCCTTACTTTTTCCTTATTTCTCCTCTCTTCTCCGCCACTCTTCTCTGATCTTCTTATCTTCATTCTTTCTTTATCCTCTTTCTTTCTTCTCTTTTGTTTCTCCTCCCAGCGCCTCTTTTTTTATTTTCTTCTTTTCTCCTTTCCCTTTGTGTAGATCTAATTTCTTCTTCTTCCTCATCCTCCTTCTCCCTCTTTCTTCTAGATCTAAACAGATCCGCAATCACAGAGATGGGAGATGACGGTGATTAAGGTGCTAGCGGTGATGGGGGCTAGCAGTGACAGAGTGCGGGCTGCGGCTGCGCGGCGGCGGCGAGGGGTTTTTCTTGCTGGAGCATCAGGTGGTGTGGCTGAAGCTGAATAATCAGGCCATGGTCGTGGGGATTGGGTTGGTTCTGTTGGCCTCCGGCTCACCATCACCATTGATGGGGCTCTAGAAACTGCTGCTGTTGCGGAGGAGGAGGAGGCGGAGGCAGAGGGATGGGGATCTTGAATTATCAACTGCTGCTAAAGATTGAAATAAGGAATGCTAGAAGAAGATGGGTGGTTGGGGTTGTTATTCTGCACGAATCCACTTGCCAAAAATAGGGAAGGGCATTTTGGACTAATTCACTCCATAGTCAACCATCAATAAAAATGACTAAAAGTCAAAACGTAAAGTTCTTTCCCGGACGGAGAGAGTAATAAACTACATGAAAAGTTTTACAAATTTAGAGGTGACAAGATTATATTATTTTATGAAATGAGTAGTAAAAATGAACAAATAAAGTGAATAGAAATCATCCTAAATAGGACTAAAACATAGATAAAAGTACCAAAATAGGACTTTCATGTTTTTTTCCCAGAATAGGACTTTACACTGTGGTAATGTGACTTTGCATTGTGGTAATGTGGTAGTGTACATGTGCAAATTACTATACTTTTTTGGTAATGTATATGATCATGTTTGGTAATGTAAGTTCTATTTCGAGAATAAAAACATGGAAGTCCTATTTTGGTATATTTTCAATGTTTTAGTCCTACTTTAGTCTTTATCCCTAAAGTGAATTAAGTTTGACCTTGTGAATAGCATCTGAAAAAATCTATAGTGGACAGTAGGGGTGTAAACGAACCGAATCGAAGCGAATACCAATATATTTGAATTTGTATTTGTTTAATTTTTTCGAATACGAATCCGAATCCGAATATGAGACGAATTCAAAATATTGATTAATATTCGAATAGTTATCGAATCATAAACGAATATTTGAATAATCATACTATGTAATTTATTTGATGGACCAACATCAATTTGTAATTTAACTTACGATACTCTTTATACTATACTATATTCCGTATATAAAAACATTAATACATTTGCATCTTACACAAATTATATTTTATAAAATATAACTATTAAAAATCATATGCTTTAGATTTTCGTGTTACGTTAATTTATTGAACTCTTAGTATTTTAAATACACTTTATACTATATTACTCCGTACTTAGCTTGACTTTTGATGTTGAAAACATGGTCTGTGTATATATGCATATATTCGAATATTCGAATATTCGAATATCATCCGAATCGAATATATCTCTATTTGTATTTGTATTTGATTAATATTTGAATCAAAAATAATATTTGAATTTGAATTTGTATTTGAATAACGCGAATTCGAATCATCATATTCGAATACGAATCTCGAATCGAATTTAAAATATTTGATTTGTTTACATCCCTAGTGGACAGAGGAAGTACTATTTAAACATGAAAGTCATATTTTGGTACTTTTCTTT